TCTATTTATTTTTTTTATCAAAGTTTTAAGCCAGAATTGTAAAATAAACGCTGCACAAGAAATATCAGAAAAATCAACAACAAGCTTCAGAAGTTACGTTGAAGATCTTAATTTTATTGGAAATAAAGTTTTGAATTTTAAGTATACTAGCCCAATTATCCTCCCTTGAAATAAATTTTCAGATTCAACTGTACTGACATGTTAAATTATCCTATAAGACTTCTGCAAAACAATATAGGTGTAAATAGTATTTGCTCTAAAAAGTTGATCCCTTTTCCCAATTAATCAAAGAAATATAACTATATAAAGAAAATTCTTGATAGATTTATTTGTCATCATAACAATTATAACAACATTTTAAGACTTGAAAAAGCATCCTTGGTACAGAAAAGCTGTAAAATGTATATAAAACAACACATTTTTGCCGCTATAAAACACAAAATGTCACACAATCTAAGACAGTTTAAGTTTTGTCTTGCAAAATAAAGCAAAGAAAATTGCCAACATAAATTCTCAGACGTCAACTGTCTCATTTCTTTCATTTAAAAAAGTTACGTATTACTACTGTTATAATTATAATCTATGCTCTATAACTTCAAACATCCATGTTCCGTAATGAAGAAAAATGCTTTTCAACACTGGAGAGCATTAAATCTTCACCGAAATTTAGCTGGAAATCTGAACTATTATTGATGTTCAGACATAAAGAAATTATTGAGCAATTACATCCACTGCCTCAGCTCTTCCATAAATCTTTGTTTATAACGTTCCTGAATTTGTCTTTGCTCTCAAAGAGTCATTAAATTTTTGAATTGAGAGCTTAAAAGGAAATGTTTGTTATTTTAAAGTTATATGAAGATTAGTTGATGACGTCATTGCCCGCTGACTCATATTAGGTGATAAAAAAAGGTCCCTGTCAAGCCACGGAAAATACAATTACTTTGTATTACAATATGAGGTGGTCTTCTCACATGGCAAATTCTAGAGGTTATTAAGCTTTAAGGTTTTTTTATTGTGAGTTTTTAAAATCTGTTTAATTATGTATAATGTGACCTAAATTTCTTACAGAGGTTTTGGAGACAATTTGTTCTTATCGTAACAATGAGTGGCAGCATCATTACGAGGTACAAGACCATGTCAATAACCTGAAAGTTACATAACTTACTAATAATATGACATATAGTCACAACATTTTGTTACTTATTCATAATGAACTACTTGTAATTATTTCTTTGATTTGAACACACTAAAGAAATGTTCAGTTATGGTGATTTAGGTGCCCGGCCTTTTACTGATGCTGTTCCAGCATGAGCAGACATATGCAAGAACCTTATAGTAGAACCACTAACTTTCCTTAAGCTTACTACATATAACTTCTTCATAGCCATAAAAGAATCAAAATCTCAAGATTTATATGGCAACATCACTTGATATAACATATCATCCTCCTTCCTCCTTTTGCATGACATGGAGAGGCACAGGTTATCGGCAGAAGATTTTAAGAACTTGGGGCGGCATTAACGAAAACCAAAACTTGTGTCCTGCAAACTAGCTGCCAATGCCATGAATAAAGTGGAGAGGAATGGGCCAACAAAGTAGGCAGAGATGATAAAGAAAGGTGTGTAAGCCTCTAGTATGATAAGATGGCTAGAACAGTGGTGCCTTAGCTGTCGCTAGGGCAGGGCTTCTTCACCTTATATTACTGTACATGCCTGCTGTTACAATGAGTGACCTTTTTTCGGCACAAAATTCATCTCTTTGGCTAAAACTCTTGAAATTGCACTGAGGGAAACTATCACCACTTGTGCTTCAAAATTAAACCTTTTAGGGCATGACTTAGGTGACATGTCTATGGTCTGTACTCAACAGGGAAAGCTACTATTTTCGTTTTTCCTAAATGGGTGGATTATAACCTTACTTAAACATGCATTTCATTTGTTCATTCATTCATTCATTCATTCATTCATTCATTCATTCATTCATTCATTCATTCATTCATTCATTCATTCATTCATTCATTCATTCATGTTTGTTCATGTTCATTCATCCATCCAACCATTCAATTCATTCATTCATTCATTTGTTCATTCATTTGTTTATTCATTCATTCCAGTCATTCTGGCACAATGCTCAGAACTAACAACCTGCTATAATCTACCAGGAAGTCTCCTTCATATGAAATAATGTAATGTCTCTGATCCCTAAAGGAAAGGGGAAAGTAATTTCTAGTCAGAAACCTGTGTTATAAATCTAATGAAAAAAATCAACAAGAATGTGAATGTTTGGCAAATGAATGATGTTTTTATTTATAAACTGTAATTAGGTTTTTAAGTTGTGACTGGCAGAAGTTGGAGGATGCACATTTTTTATTGTAATAGGGAGCAATGTGTGCATTTTTTGTTGCATGAATTCACTGCAACCACAGAAGAAATTTCTATTACAAATCCTTATTTCTTCAAAACCCAAGGAAAACCCCAATTACCCCCTGACATAACTAATCTTTCAGAATTCACAAAGGTCACAGATGGAGTCAAGAAGACATGAAGAATTGATCTCTTTTGCAGAAACAATAAATATGGGGTAATTACGAAAGTCTTTGTCTAATAATGCAAACCTTTGGAATTCTATCCCTTCTTGCCATGAAAAATGTCCCCAAAGAGTTATTTTTAGTGAAAACCTTCAGTTGAATGTGATGAAATTAGCTTTATTGAAATTAAATGCTGAAACAGTAATTTGGCAAGCCAGGCAAGAGTGCCAGCATAGCCATTTTAGGCAATGAAGAATAGCTTTTTGGCATGGAAATGTCCAAAGCATTTGTTATTGACAAGATTAGGTTTGTGCGTGAAAATACCATGTGGTGTACACATGGCAAAATCTGCACAGTCAAATCAATATTAGATTGAACTTTACACTTTTGGGAATTTAATGTGTATTTTATGGAAGCTTTATTCTGTTTTATTATTTTTAATGATCCACGGAAACTTAAAATGTTTTAAAGCATTTCAGACTGATTAGTAACAGATCTTTTGATGTCACCAACAGATCTTATCCTTTAATAGTTACTTAAATGAGTGTTAGAGTGACAATACTATACTGTAAAAAATAGGTCTCATAACTTCAAATCAGTAATCAGACAAAAAGGTTAGATTGTTATAATTAACCGGAAACCTGATGGCAGCTATAAATAACCATGTGACCACTGAGCAGACCAAGATCAGTCACATATCTGTGCTCTGTTGTTGCAAGTGTTCGCTATCAAGTCCAGTATAAATTTATTTCCTAAATAGAGAGGGGTCGTGGCGAGTGGTTAAGTCGTGACTTCATACTGCCCTCACCGCTTGTGTGTTCGATCCCACAGGGATTTAGATTTCATTCATGATGTAAGGAAGTATCCAGCTAGCTTATTGAGCATCGGTGGTTCTACTCAGGTGCCCATTTAAATACATTACATAGTTGTATAGAACTTATATTTTTTACATGCACAAAGGTCAAAGTCCCATATGAAAGCTCTTTTTTCAGGAGCAACAGAAAATAATCCTAAATAAAAAAGCTAAAAAAAATATCTTTTGTTTATAAAGAACATCTGGTTTAGCCTGTATTCCATTTTCTTAGTAATGAACAAGATCTGTGTGACCTTATCTACACTAGTTTGTTATCTCATACTCGCATATACAAAATAAGAAAAACATATTTTTGAAAATTAATTACATGGCCTCATGTAGACATAACTGGTTCAAGTTTCATGTACATCTGGTAGCCATGCCATCTGATACATGTGTGTAATGTTTTTATGAGGATATTTAAGATATTAGTTTTCCATGTGGGTGATTAGTGGGTCCTTGTTGGTAATTGTTTATTTCTTGTGGGTAGTTGAGATTTATTAGCCTGTCTGCAGAGAATCATGTGTACCAGTGTAAATGGGGATTTTTAAGGAATTTCATGGAAAGGGTATTCACATATGCTACATGTAGAATATATAAATTATGTTCATTGCAGCCCTTTGTTTTCTTGAAACCTTGTAATGACATTTACCAAAAATGTCCATTAGTGCAGTCTCACATGTCCTGTTTTCAACTAATAAAAAATATATATTTTGTTTCTGTTGTCATGAAAGGAAAGAATTTTTCTCTTAATTTATTGTAGTGCAAAAAAAAGTAAATAGACTCAAGCACTAAAATATTTGTTAGTGACTCTTTGGTGCCTGAAATTTTCATTATACATGTGTACTGTAAAACATAGCTGTATAATGCTGTCAATCAATGATGGTGAGACATTTAATGATGAAATAAAATTTTTAATGAACTCAAGAATTAAGTGCGACAACAAGGGGTCACTACATATATTTGTAAAATGCATAGAGGAACGTTTCAGAAATAATTTCTTATAAATTTAAAAATCTGTATGCCACAACTGGGACTTGAACCTCGGGAGTATCTCTGGATTTGCAGTAAGTTAAAGTATATAAGTATATTATATATATGAGTAATTTCGTAAAGAAGAAGAAAAAAGTCCTTTAAATACTAAATTAAGGTTACATAATTTTACTTTGCATGACTACATTGTGTATAAGAAATTTTTTTGTGCTTATTATCATGATAATTGATAATAATACATAAATATTATTGAATTTATAAAGTACATAAGTGTAATTCAAGGGCTTTAAAATTTATCTCCCAGAGTTTGTATATAAAATGTTATATAAAATGTAATAAAGAGTACATTCTGTAATTACAAAGCTATGAAACAAATCTTTTCTACAGCATCATACAGGAAGTTTATCATGAACATTTATTTTAGTTGATATTTAATTCCCCACAAGAAAATTTTCATACTCATCAAAAGTTTATTGCCATATTTTATGAATGAATTATTAATCCTGAATTTCCCCCCTCAGTCCATATTATTATAAGAGCTGCGACTAGTTCATTTCCGTTTCCCAGGGATCTCATTGCTACTTCTGTTTCTTCTTCAAGTTTTATTGGATATTAATAAGGAGTCCCTGGTTACTTGTAAAAATCAGATACTCTTGCTTAGGTCTGTTTTTATAGATTTTATGAAATTAAAGAGGATGTCTGCTTTTAGAAGGAAATAAATGTTGTGAAAAAAAAGGAATAGAGGAAAAATAATTCTGTAGAGATTGAAGCATGTGGATAATATTATTTGGTGTTCAGCTGAGAGGTACATGTATTGTAGAATAAGAACAACATTGGATATGAACCATGTGTTAATTACAAAGCAGGCGCAGTCGGAAATATTTAAGTCTCTGGATAAATCAGTAACATTTTCTTCAGGGAATCTGAGACACATTGTTTTAAGGTATGGTTATTATATGATGTACTTGCCAGATAGCAAACAAAAAATAAAGCAAAAAAAAACATGCCATATTATTAAAAGTGTATTCTGGAATTTATGTGATTGCATAACTGTTATGGATCAGTGTTTGAAAATGTTCCTGCTATGTTTTTTTTTAGCTTTTTATCTGTACTTGGTATTTTTTTCTGTGATAGGTATAGAAAATGAAATTCTACAAATGTTTGGTACTGGGGTATTAAAAGATCATGTGATCTGCTCAACCAAGGTATATAGGTTAAAACAATTTTTCAAAAATAGTAGCATATACATCAAAAATTAAAGAAAAATTCACTTCACACAATTTTTATCTATCTTTAATTTCTGGCATTTATATGTTTTATTTTCTCATTTCTTGTTTGTCAAAATGAAAGCTGCAGGTTTTTATTTTCTGTTTAAATGCACTCTTTCACCTGGTCCTGATCTTTCTTGTTGTATAATAAGCACATGCTTTCAAATGGCTTAAATTAACATGGGAGCCTTGCATTGGTAAAGATTTACTGTGTTTGAAATTTCCTGAAAGGTCTGATTATTCATTTAGTTTAAGTGAAGCTGGTTTAAATTTACTGTGAAATTTAATAGAATTAGTGTGCATTCTTGTGATTTGCTCACTTAAGTTTCCTGAGACTGTGCAGGTTTCCGAGGGAACAGATTTCAAATTTTTGCAATAAAGAGGAATGAAGTAAATGCTGTTGAAGCAAAATGGTTAATGAAGTTGAATGATGGTATTTTAAACTAGTTGATGGAATAAATTTAAGTAATGTAGAAGAAAATAATGGATTTTCATTGAGTTTTAATGCAGCATAAGGTCATAAGATTATAAATATCTTGGCTATAACTAGGCATTAGACCACCAAAATGTTTCATTGTTGAAGGAAATCAGTGTCACTATTAAGCTATCAACAAGCTGTGGGTGATTTCTTTTGTCATCAGAGATTGGCACATTTTAATACTCTCCTATTTAAGAGGTAAAATTGTGCAGTACTCTGTGTTTAATAGGACTTTAAGAATGAATGATTAAACCTATTATTATGTCCAAAGATTTCATTTTAAAGACGGCTTTAATGATACAGTACTATAAATTTTCACTATTTTATTACCTCCCTTTATAAAAATGCAGCCATTAAATTTCGACTGTCAGTCAAAAATTAGATTAGGTTAAAAGAAAAATATTTAGATGATGTTTGTATTTTTAGTTAATTTAAGATTTGCTATAATTGATGGGTTGAAAAATGAGATTATGAAGTTAGAAATCTTCGGTTTTATCATCATAAAATCTTATTTGAAATTGATAAATCAACTTTATCATTTTATTGGTTGATAATTTAATAAATTAGCTCTCTTTTGATGTAATTAACTGATAAAATGTTATTTATGAGTTCACATGTATTTATGAAATTATTTTCTACAAAGGGTATCATAAAATCACTAAATTATAAAATATACACAGATGGTTTGTAGATTAGACAAAATCATTCAAAGAATTTGGTGAAAAACAAAGAAAGTTTTTATTTTATCATATCGTACCATAGACCTTCGGCTAAACAAGGGTACAATTTAAAGGTCATGGCATGACTAGGGGAAATTTAACATTAGATAACATTTATACAATTGAGCTGCGTCACGACAAAACCAACATAGTGTGTTTACGACCGGCATGGATCCAGACCAGCCTGCGCATCCGCGCAGTCTGATCAGGATCCATGCTTTTCGCTATCAGTTTCTCTACTTGTAATTAAGAGTTGGTAAGCGAACAGCATGGACGCGGATGCGTATGCTGGTCTGGATCCATTCTGGTCGCAAACGCACTATGTTGGTTTTGTCGTGACGTGGCTCAAATGATTAAATATGATGATTATGTGGTGGTTTGGATGATAGTGGTAAACATGTCAGACTTGTAACCTAAGGATTGTTGGCCGCTTGGGTTCAGAAGCAAGAAATTGTACACTAATTGTTTTAATTAGTATTGATTCATTCTATTGCAATTATGGAATGGATTTGAACATGTATTTAATGAAGTGTAAAAGCTTCCTAAAGTAGTCTGTGTAAAGTTCTAAACTGAAGAAACTAACATTAGTTATTTATAAGTAAAACATAAGTTGTATACTGAACTTGCATCTGAGTTTCAACATTTGAGTTTTAATCAACTAATTAAGAATTAAACTACTCCTCTAATTAAACTGTGAACTATTTCAAATATTTTAAATATAAAAAATACCCCCCAAACAACCAAAACATATGGTAAAGAAATCTCCAAAATAAATGGTCAGTTTGGAGGGGGGTGTTTTTTGTTGAGAAAAATTTTTTTAAGCAGTATTTAATGCAGACAGTAGATTGACTCTATTTACATCAGACACACATAAGTGACTGGTCAAGTATGAAAAATCATGTAAAAATATGACCGCCAGTGGACATTAAGCAGGATTATTTTAGCTATAAGTTACCCAGTTTGAGACAATTTTTCAAGGATGAATATTATATTAAAACTATCATGGGTATTTGTTTGATTGCATATTTATTTCTAACGGACAATGGAAAACGATGTACTAAGCCTCTTATAACACTATCCTAGTTCACTGAATAGACATTCGAGATTTTTATCGGGTTTTGCTTTTTGCAAGGTATTGCGGAAAAATCATCGGCAATTTATCGCACAGTTGACTGAGGTTTTATAAGGGAAGTGAATGTTGAATGAAAAGGAGGTGTTTTCTTGTATCAGCTGTACTGAACGGATTTAAATGATAATATTTGTGTAAATTTATAAACACTCCTGGCACGATTTGAAATTCATTTTGAGAGAAGTTTAGAAAAAAAGGTGGATTTTTATTGGATTTTATACATAACTGCATTAGTGGTCTATTGTTATCCTTCTACACAATAGATTGTCCGTTTTAATTGAAAATAATAAAACTATTTTGAAATTGAATTTATGATTATAATAAAGTTGGAGGATTTAGATATATATATTGATAATACATTAACTGTGATAAATAAAGAAACTTTATCATGTCATTTAGAGGAATGGATGTGGTTATATAATACATGTAGGTATATATATACATGTACTGGTATTAAATTGGTGTAGTATATGTTTTTCATACACGTTACTTCGCATGTTGCCCTAAATTGCTAATATAATGTTATGTTATATTAATAGTATACCATTTCTTTAATGAGAATTGATATATTTTAAATGCAGTAAAAAAAAGGAAATCATAGGAGACAGTAAGTGTATTTGTAATTAATAATGATTTTGTACGAATGTATGAATTATGCAACTTTTTTTTTCATTTTCCTTTCTATGATTATAGGCAGCCTGTACGTATTTAATTTGCTTTGGTTTTCTAAAAACCCACTTAAGTAAAAGTAGTTTGCAATCTACATCCGTCGAATAATCAGTTACAAAATCTCCGCTACTGGCTAATTGACTCTTACTGGATAACTTCCATTTACCAATTATAGCCTTTGTGAATTTTTAATGCCATGCACCAGAGAGTATTGCCGACTCTGTGCTCGTTTTGGACATTTACCAAAAAATTTAATTTGGTTGTGCTTGCTACTAATACGGTAATTGGGTGTTCTTTTTCACCTCTTGTTCTCTCAGCGGAATTATTCAGTTTGGCTTTAGGACATTATGGTATGGTCTTTATTATTTAAGAGGCAAAAGTACAGATTTATGTTTCTTTATATATTAATGAAAAAGAAATCCTTAAACAAATATTGTTTCTCGTGCCTGGATAAATAAAAAGTAAATATAGAAAAAGAAATTTGTAAGACAGTTTAAGTGCATTTAGCTTTTAATCATATTGACTTTTAGAATAATTTTAAGTAAATTTATTGATGTTAGTTTTAAGCGTGTACATTAATGTGGGCAATAGAGTTTTTTAACAACTACATTTTAACAGAATTTTATTAAGTAAATGATAATTGCAAATATTTTTTTTATTTTTTCCATATGCTTTGCTTTTTACAGTCATGCAACCTTTCAACATTGGTTTTTTGATTGTGACAATCTAATAAATGTGCAAAGGGAGTCCCAGTTTTAAATTTAAAGCAACAAGCAAGTGAAATTCAGTTTAATATCTTACCTGAATCTTTAACCCTGAATACCAATGATATCTGATACAGAGAAATGAGAATAAGAAATTTTTATAGCCTGTTATCTGACACTCATCAGATGTATACATATACATTTTTGAATAAGGGGTCAAATGCAGGATGTTGAAGGCTTTAGGATAATTGTTATAATGCAGTGATAAAAAGGCCTGTTACAAATTCTTGACTGATGTGGAAATCTTTTGTTATTGGTCTAAAAAAATTTGTTTTACCTCAAATAACTTCAAACCACTTTGGGTTTGAATCCCAACAGGGTCGTTGGATTCTTTCATGTGAGGAAGCTATAATCCAGCTAGCTTACAGAACATTGGTGGTTCTACTCAGGTGCCCTTATGTGCCTTTTATAATGCATGGAAGGGCCTACAGAACATTGGTGGTTCTACTCAGGTGCCCTTATGTGCCTTTTATAATGCATGGAAGGGCCCCTGAGGTAAAATCCTCCGCCAGTAAAGCTGGATGTCGCCATTTACCTATACTGTGTTAGTGCGATATAAACCAAACCTAAAACTAAAAAAAAAAATCCTGTGAGTTTAATACAAAGACAGGCCCTATCTGCATCTTACATGGGAGAGGCAGTGTACAGTTCTATATTTTACCACTCATCTGCTAATGTTTGACCCATACCCCTTATATTGTCCCTTGATATAATCTAAAACTGGCACAAAACTGGCACTTTGCTAAAGAGATTCTTTCCAATAAAATGGTAGCCATACTATATTTATCTACTAGAATATATAAGCAGAAACCGGATACCATATGTTATAGTTTTAAGTACTGTTTGTGCAATCCAGGACAATTGATTTTGGTCGATCATCAAGCAGATATCTCCTGCTAATATTGATTTCATATTT